TAGCGCGTCGTCACGTATATCATGCTTTAACAGCCGCCCTCCTTTTCCTCTCTTATTTTCAAGAGGTACTTCTAACAATTGAAGCTGGTGGGTTCAGTTCACCGTCGAGTTTATAACTTATGTTTTGTTTTGGTAAGAGATTTCAGGAACTGGCGACACAATTAGGTGGTCCGGAGGTTAGAGGTGTTACCAAAGATAGTAATGTTACTGTTTAAGAGAGTAAGACACACGAAAAAGGAGGAGCGATAAGGACGATAGGTGTTTGTCGACAGGGGGAAAAAAGTAGCTCACGCGAACCGCCCACAAGTTCATGACATAGAGGGAGTGAATTCTTTAGAATGTAAGCGTTTTTTTCCGCACCTGTCGACAACACAATTTTGATTTAGGTACAAAATCCCGACAGAAAGACCGAGATACTCGATAAAAACAATTACTCCCTTCTACTAACTTCTAGGTAATCAAACTCGGGTCTCCTATGAGCAACAGTGAGGCGCCTGGTCGAACCGCTATTCCACAGACGCCGGCTAGAAGGAATGAACATTTATTTCATGGACCAAACCTGGACATGCTTGTGGAGGTGGGAACTTGTTAATCGAAGTGGCTAGCAGTATTTATAAGTACGGTTTAATGAATTCAAAATGATCTCATTACTCGTAATTGTGTTGTGATCGCACCAATTGAAATTCGAAGAAAGAAAGGCAGGCTCACTGCCAACAATACACAAAGGCGATCGGACAATCCCTGAGTGCGAGCGCTAGTCTGTCTAACAAATTCGAGTGCAGACCTGATAGAACAAGTGAGATGGTCAGGAAAACAAAAGCACCGAAAAATCACAGTTCGGTGTGACCCTGTCTGTAGAGTCCAGAACCGATTTCCGCGATCAATACTACGGATGAAAAGTTCCGACTCCTTTTCACGTAAACCAACAGTCACCAGTTATTTAAATCATTGAAATCTTTTTTCTTTTTTAAAATAAATTCAATTTTGAAGAAAAAAAAGTTCGTGCCTCGTAGTGTTCGGAAATCAAGGTTATCCTAAATCCTGAAGATGTTTGGAGCCAACCAGGTAACTACCGGAAGAAATCACATCATCAGACCGTAAGTAATTGGGTTCGGAGTCCGATTCCTACGGTTCCTAGCTGTCTGACGCGGCCTTGTTGGTCCTACCTACCGAATTCTACCTTGCAGAAAGCACAGGCGTAGGATCGCATGCATGAGTGAGGGTGGTCTATGAAGGTTTTTTGTTCTTTTTGTTCATTAAAGTATAATCGGAAATGCTGGAACTTTACGTTTTTAGTCCCTTTCACAGTGGGATCGTAGGGGTGACTTTTTTGTAATAAATTTGTTGTTTTGTGTGTGTGTGTGTGTGT